GCAAAGCATTATTTACTAGACTTTCCAAAAACTTTTCCCATAACTGATGTAAGACTAATGGGTCTATAATTACTGGGACAATTGTATTACCTCATTTGAAAAGAGGAGTGACATTAGCTAACTTCCAATCCTTTGGTACCTGCCCACTGTTCAAGGACTGACAGAAAATAGTAGCAAGTGGCTCATATGTCCAATCCTTAACCTCCTTCAAACTCTTGTGGAAATATTATCTGGCCCATGAGCCTTGTCGTTCTTCAAATTTCCAAATTTTTGTTAACATGCTCAGAATTAATGCAGTCATCTCACTTCCATCTATCACCTGTTCAAGATGTGGAATACTGCTTAAATCTTCATTAGTAAAAACTGAATAAAAAGCAGAATTAATAACCTAGCCATTTCACAATCATCAGACATAAGCCGTCCTTTATCATCCCTCAAGGATCCTACCCCCATCCTAACATTTTGTTTACCTTTAATGTATTTAAAGAAATCCTTACTGCTAATTTTTATATTTTCAGCCAACCTTTGTGTAGAGAATGTAGCAGAATTGGACTTAGTACCTAATACAATACAAAGCTACATCCTCTACTACACAGTATGTTGTATTGTATTAGGTACTAAGACCTATTCTCATACTGTGTAGTAGAGGATGTAGTGGAATAGACTTAGTACCTAATACAATACAACATACTGTGTAGTAGAGGATGTAGCGGAATAGATCCTAGTACCTAATACAATACAACATACTGTTTAGTAAAGGATGTAGTGGAACTTTGTATCCAATACAGTACAGAATACTGTTATGCCAGAACAACATATAATTCAATGTACTTAATATTGTAAATTAAGGATAACAATTTACAACGTTAATATAATGTAAACAGAATATTATAATAAACACATTATAATGTAAACAGAATATTATGATAAACACATTATAAGTCAGATTAATTCAAGTCTTTGGTTAAATTCAGTCTTTATAAGTTATGAATTTTAAAAAGCGATTACTTTGGTTTAGTTTTCATTCGAAAATTCATTCTTTATTTCATCTCACTGAAAAGGCTGGTTTAAAATCCAAAACTTTCTTTATTGTAGTTGCTGAAAGATCTCAATCACGAGTTGGACGAGTTACGGAGATATCGGAGAGAAACGGAGAGTATCCATCCAGTTCGCAGCTCTAGTCTTCTGGAATTGGAGCAGGAAATCCGTAAATTGCGCGAGGTACATTTTTTAAAGCTTCGCCATTTAAAGTTTGTGGTACTAAATTTGAAAGTAAAAAACAACAGATTTTTCATACTTTTATGTTAGTGACTCGTAGGTTAATATGAATAGTGCTGAGGTGCACAAAGTGATTAACGAAATAGACAAAAAATATTCATCAGTTGAAAATCATATTTATTAAAATTTTTCAGATCTATTAGTCTGTAAAATAAACAATGACACTGGTGATATAACTATAAAAGGAGCAAATATATTAATGAAAATGTACATCTCAAAATAAAATAGATAAACAGTGTCAAAACTAAAGGATACAGTTTTTGTATTGGTGGAGTGTATGTGCTTTGATTTTAAGAATGTCATTATAAGTATACGATCTCATAGAGAAGAGAAAATAATATGTTTGACACATCATTCCAACCTGTAATTCAGAAGTCTATAATTCATACATCATCATTATTAAGTATTGTTTATGCAAGTTTTAGTTCTGTGTCCATGAAAGACTTATTGTTGAAGACTATGTTTTTAATGTAGGCGTTTCTAGAAATCTGTATTGTTGTTTAGCTGGAGGGAATTTTAACGTAACGTGATGAGTATGGCTTCCAATTCTGGAACTTTCTCGAAAGTTTAGGAAACAACTTGAGCCACGTGTAAAACGAGAGTTATGCTAAAGTTTATTATTGAGTCTGTTGGAGTGAGTGATTGAGCTAGTTAGTATATTAATGATTGCGTCAGTTAGTTAGTTTAATGCTGTGTTTCGACGACGAAATAGACATAGGAAATTACCAAGTAAGTTAAATTGTTATTAAACGTAGTTTATTTGTGAAGTCAGGCCTATCGGTGAACGTTAGTTACGCTGCCCTCGGAACTTGAAGAAATGTTTTGTTATCGTTAATTGGACTGGACTTTTCATTATTCCTTTTACAGAATAATCCAAAAGAGTTCGCCCTTCAATCGCAACCGTTACAACGATATCCTTATTTTATGTACACACACACACACACACACACACACACACACACACACACACACATACATACATACATACACACATACACACATACACACATACACACACATACATACATACATACATACACACACACATACACACATACATACATACATACACACATACACACATACACACATACACACACATACATACATACATACATACACACACACATACACACAT